GTAGGAAGTACACAATAGGACTATGTCAGCAGAAACCAGCAATTGTAAATTTTAATGCAGTGAAAGCTTAGGATATCTGCCTGTCCTTCCAGCAGCAAGGGTACAACTCAGAGGACACTGCTTTCTGATGCCAGCAGCAAGATGAAGAGCCAATAGCTACAGAGTGGCAGTACAGACAGTTTGGGGCACCACAATATAAGAAGGACATAAAAATATTAGAGAGCATTTGAAGGAGGGCTATGAAGATGGTGATGGATTTGGAGGGCAAATTGTATGAGGAGCAGATGAAGACCACTCATAGTATCATATTTAACATCTCTTTGTTTAAGAAGAGAGAACTGGAATAGATCTCAGGATATGATAACTCCCAAGATGGGGATAATTCAAACATAGCATTAAATTTGCCAGCTGGAGACAAAAACTGAGTTAACACAAAATCTTATATTCCATCATCATAGAAGTCTGCAGTAACTAGAAGCCTTCATTTCACTGGCTTCTGATACAGATTTGTCTCCCAGATGCTACTTGCTAGTTCAGAAAACTCTATCCCATGATAGAACTCCCTTCTCTGTGGCATTTCAGGCATGTAATCTTGCCATCCTGTACAGATAAAGAACAGAAGTAGCCTAGATTCTCTCAGCTGGGCATCTGATCTCTCAGACAGGATTGTGGACTGTATGCAGTTTCCTAACTTAGGCTTCAAAGTAGTTTGCCTAACATTGCCTTACCACTTTTTTTTCTCTGTAAAACGAATGAAATACAAACCCCCTACATGAAATCTGAATGCCTTCACATTTGGTGCAAGATAGCGTTTGAATCTAATCTGTGGCACTTTATCTTCACTCCTTGTTTTTTTACTACATCTCTTGGACTCATAAATTAAAATGAAAATCTACTGTCTCCAGCTTTCATTTGTGTGACAGCCGAAGCCTCTGTGAAACTTTCATTTCATATTTCTGAGTTCCCCCCTCCCCAACCTGCATGAATTCCACAAAGCAGACCTTTCCCCCTCTCCATCGCTCTCCAGATTTCTGTATTCCCCTGTATGAATAGGTTAAACAAACAGGGAGATTCCTCAAGGGAAGTCATAGGTTCAAGATCACAAAGGACAACCACGTTTGGGCCAGTTGGAGGTTTTTCTTGCTATTGTGCTTATCTGTATCTTCCCTGTCATCCAGACATTAACCTCTGACCTGTGAGTCCGCCTCTCAAAAAAGCCTTGCAGTGTTTACCTATTATGTAATGTCTGTGCTTTTGTGGAAATTCTGCAGAAACAAATGGAGGAAGTTTGCCAGTCAAACTGGTGGACAATAAATCCTGTCCTATGTAGATAGAATGGTTTACTGTCACTGTAAGTCTGCTACTGGCATCTGTCACCAAAGAAATGTTTACAAATTTCAAGAGGCTGGAGTGCCAAAGCGTTCCAGTATTGAACAACTATACAATATTTGTGGAATAACCACTGCTGTACAGTACAGGGGTATCCTTGTATTCAGCGTGAATACACAGAATGACAGTTCAGATAACTTAAGGTCACTAATGTTCAATTTTTCTGTCTATTCATCCCAGACATTCAGGAATGTAGGCATCCCAATTCCAGTTAGTTGTCATACTTTTTCTGCTCTAAAATTTCTTTGCCAAAAGCTTAAAACCCCAAACTGTCTTCAGATTCCTTTGCTTACTTCCAATAGGTTCATTTATATTTTTACATCTATATTGTCTATGTAGATATAATATATATATATTCTCTATATTTACCTCTATATTTTATTTTGTCTCTATATTCTACCCTACAATCACTTTTCTTTGCAATCCCTGCTCTCTCTCCTCTTTCTGCATTATTTCCCCTTTGGGACTAGACTTTATATCCCATTACCTTTCTGGACATTGTAATCACAATGCTTCTGCTGTTTGACTGGGATTTCTCCATTCTGTCAGTTGTAAAGTTGGGTCAATGGAAAGCTTAGTTTGGATAAGAAGTGTGAGCAAACATAATCTGAAACAGTGGGATAGACAAGTAATACAGTTCTTCCTTCACAACACCCTAACCTGTTTCACTGAGGGCCTGATTTTGTTGCCACTGTAGGGATCTTTTCATAGAATCATAGAATCCCCAAGGTCGGAAAAGACCTACAAGATCATTCAGTCCAGCCATTCACTTATCATCAGTATTTTCCACTAAACCATAACTCTCAGAACAATATCTAAAGGTTTCCCGAACACCTCCATTGCAGTGATTCAACCACCTTCCTGGGCAGTCCGTTTCAGCACTTGACCACTCCTTCCAAGAAGAAGTTTTTCCTAGTGTCCATCCTGAATATCCCCTGGCACAACTTGAGGCCGTTCCCTCTAGTCCTGTTGCAAGTTATGTGGGAGCACTTCATCCCATTGGCCTCAGCCCCGCTATCCAGCCTGTCCAGATCCCTCTGTGTGGCCTTACTACTTCCAGGCAGATCAACACTTTCTCCAAACGTTTTTTTGTCATCTGCAAACTTACCGAGGGTGCACTCAATGCCATCATTCAGGTCATCAATAAAGATACCAAACAGGACAGGCCTGACCCCTGGGGAACACTACTTATGACCACGATCACCACTCATGATTCTTGATCTCAATGGGAACAGCACTAGGTCTTATAGTTCCACTGCAATTAAGTTTTCAAGCCTCATTTCCTTTCAGAGGAGAGAAAACATTGTTGTGACTAAGCTTTGGATGTGGTAACAAATCCCTGGCAGGTTGGTTTGTTTTAGCGGACGTACTAGTCTTAAGGAAACTTTTACCATCTTTTCTGCCCTTAATCACAGCTTTTATTACGATTACAGTAATGCAACAGACATACATGCCAAAGGCAATATGTGTATTTTTAATGAGTTGACATGCAACCTTCCTGGAGAGGAGGAACATCTTAATTTGCTCAACATTTCTCAACCGTATCTAGCAGTTTGTTAAGGGACAAGGTACAAATCAGAAAAGTATTTATCACAAATTCAGAGGTTTCACTAAGTCACAGATGGGCAGTTCTGTAGGATAGTCTCAGTTTTTGTGCTAAGCTTAGCAAAGTTTTACTGAAGCATTACACTGCTGTTCACAAAGAATACAAGAGAAGGCCAACAGGCAATATCCAGAAAGCTTTAAGGTTATTAATCCATGCATGTGGTCCTGAGTCACTGGACTGTAAAATATCATCACTTTCCAAAGATGGAATCGAAGAGGAATTCTGCCTAAGAGATGATATCACAAGCCCAGAGGAACTAGTTGCATCAGAAGGCCTATTTATTCAAGTTTTATAAGACATTGGCTCACAGGGACTTTCATTCTGGTATAATGAATTCAGTCAATAAATTGAACATAGAGATCACATCCTATGAGAACAAGCCCCTTCAGCCTGGCTTCTTGCTTCAATTTTCCTTGCAGTTTGGACACATCAGTGCACCCAGAAAAATTACCTCTGGCTGTCACGTCAGGACAGACACACTTGGGGACTGAAAAACTGAAGAGCTGGGCTCCAACAGCAGCACATCAAATCCGCCCTCTTAAAATATTCCTGGCACTGCAGTGGTCTGTGCCAAACAGCACTTACAAACAATGACTGGCCACAATTTTCTGGAGGTTAATGCAGGCCAAGGACCACTTCCACCACAATCCTCGATGCAGCTACCTGCTTTGAGAGCTAGAATTTTATCTGTGTAGACCAGAGTATTCCTGGCTTGTGGAGAATGACCCCACAGACCTTCACATACCTTTCTCCGAGACTAAACTAGCAAAGGAAGAAGCCTGAATTCCTACGGTACATATGACTGCAGAGATGTTTTCTCTTTCATCATCATAAAATTTCCATAAATTAACAGGAACTCAAACAGCAGACCATATGACTTCCATCAGGAGTTTACATTATCAACCAGCAGCCTGACTTTGTCAGGTACAGGGTGATGAAACGGAGCCACTATTCTTAGGGCAGTTTTGTACAACATAAACAGCACTGTCTGGGTTTGTCAGCAAAAACCCTGACTGCCCATCCTGCTTGCAGCCTACAGGCTGCCTGTACAACCCTAGAGGCGAGTCTTTGGTACAGAGCAGCACATTCACAGATGAGGTTAAAGGGACTTGCAAGCACAAAGTCACTCTGGCACATCTGTTCGGACGATTAGGAGGTAGAATTAACTGATAGAAGACAGAACACAACTGGAAATCTAGGAATGTGTTTTTACTACTATTAATGCAATCTAAACTTCCTTCTTGCTGTTATTACTGTGTTAGCATGTCAATTCTATTCCAAATTGTTTTCAACTGCTAGCTTACTAAAATACCTGGAGTATAGCACAATTCACGTTCTGGTTTTCATTCTAAATGTAACATAATTTATCTGAAATTATTCCCTTTCTTAAAGCTGTTCCTTTTGCTAGAACATGCAAACTATGCATATGGTGTGCCATATCATTGGAAGGACATTAATCTTCTGTCTTTGCCCAAAAAAAGCATTGAAATTCTGTGCACAAAGTAACTTCTATGTGTCTCTTCAGGCTGAAGGCCTTTTCCTAAATTCACTAATGCTCCAATTCAGATTACAAAAATGACAGAGAGAAAGAGTTAAATCAAGGCTTAATGAAACTTATGCGGAGAAACCTTTGTGAAACTGATTACTGATTTATTTCACTACCCAGTATGAAGGAAATGCAAAAAGTAAGGAGGGATGAATAAAGATCCACTGCAAAACTACGGTTTAATCACATGAGATACTGCTAAAAGTATACAGGTCAGGGTTTTCTTAACAAATATAGATGCTTTGGGAAAGTATTTCATTTGTTATTTTTCCTTGAAGACTTTTTGTTTTTGAATTGACAAACTGAGATTTTCCTGTAGTCTTTAATTTTAGAGAATTTTCCAATTCACAATTTATTTGTGCTTTAGTACTAAGCTTTTGTCTGCAAAAAGCCCAATCTACCTTCGCTAAACGAGAACGACACAAAAGCTGAGGCAACCAACAAACCCCACGTGCTCACCGATGCAATCCACGCTGAAGAGATTTACGGAGGTCGTTATGGAAGATTCATCGCAGGTCTTCATGCCCCGCAGAGCAAAGCGCACGAGGGAGGCCTTGACGCCCTCGGGCAGGAAGGACAGCAGGTAGACGGGCATGTAGAGGGCATAGCGCAGCTTGCACAGCAGCGGGGTCATCAGCTTGCCCTGTGGGGACTGGGCCATGCGCTCTATCGTGGGAAACAGCAGCACGGAGCGGAGGACCTGTGCGACCAGGAGAAAATGAGAGTCAGCAACACCTGTGGCACCCAACCAAGCCTTGCAGGCGCTGTCACCCGGCTGCCACTTGGCTTTGTCGCATGCAGGCATACAGATAGGCTTTTTGAGTGCTCTGAGCGCAGAATCGTAGCATTACTTGAGTTGGGAGAGACCCTTAGAGGTCAGCTGGTCCAACTCCCCTGCAACAAACAGGGACACCTACAGCTCCATAGGTGCTCAGTGTCCTGTCCAGCCTGACCTTGGGTGTCTCCAGAGCTGGGGCATCCACCACCTCTCTAAACAACCTGTTCCAGTGCCTCACCACCCTTATTGTAAAAAACTTCTTCCTTATATCCAGCCTCTATATACCCTCCTTATGTTTGAAACCATTTCCTCTTGTCTCATTACAATGGACTCTACTGAAGAGTCTGTTCTCTTCTTTCTTATGATAGAGGCTGAAAGCCTGCTCCCATCCAAAGATGGCTATCATCTTAATGTTTTCCAAAGACAAAGTTAGGTTGGGAAATGTAGTCTAAGGATGGGAGCACACAGTGGGGAGCCCATCTGGGACAGAAGGCACCAGTGTCCAGCAGGCACTGCCCCACCAGAGGGCAGCAGGCAGCCCCACATCCAGTATCCGGACTGTCTGACAGCACACAGGGTTGTCAATGGGCAGCTCCACATCAATATTCCTGGTAAGGACAGGAGCATGAGAGCACAACTCCACCACGGAGATGTACACAGTGATGCACATCACTGCTTTTAGCATGCTAGAGTGAAAGATATGTGTTTTAAAGTGGGTACTTCATATTGTGATAACAGAATACACGGCAGCCTTAAACTAGCATAAAAGTAATTAAAAATGCCACCCACAGTAACTAAAAGCAAATTAATGTATGCACTCTCTATTATACCTCCATGTTATCAAACCAGCATTCTCAAAGAATACTTGCTGCTCTTTCCTGGATGTGAAACATGACTACAATAATTCATATACGAAAAAGCCTCAAAGATACACAACTACTGTACCTAACAGAAGTATCAAGAAGGCAAAATAAGAGAGATTTTGGATATCGCATTTGCAGATAATTAAGTATAAACCACAGTGCTTTGTTGGCAGCTACCACAGATATAAAAAGATGCAGTTATATATGCAGTTATATAGATGTCTGTTTGCTGCATATTTCACTCTACAGATTGCACAAGTTAGATTAATATGTTAAAAATATTCTAGAACTATTTCAAAATGAATGTCTTTGCTCTCCAGTCAGCCCCAGCTCATGCACCTGTGAGCAGCATCATGCTTTCACAACAAGATATTTACAAAATCTGGGCACTGTACCACAGCAAAGTAATTCAGGAAATATCAGTAACTTGCCTTACTGGACTTTCCACAGTATTTTAAATGCAGTATTTTAATGCTTTTAAAAGCATTATTTATAGCCAATACAGAACTATTTTAAGAAATCCTTCCACTTTCCAGCTGATACTACTTTGGTTTTAGACAAAGAAAAATACATTCTCAGGGAAATCAGCCCTGGGCCTCTTTTTATTAAAGGCAACCAGCAGCTGAAGTACAGGAACGCAAGACTTGTACTAAATTATATGGCAGTTTCGTGATATTTCAGCTAGGAGCTGAACTCCAGCTATTGTGATCTAAAGCAGATTTGACCTGTGTTCCCAGGCACACATTAATCCTTTGACATTACAGTTTACAGATACAGGATTAGTTGCTTGGAGTGCTGTACTAACCACTGGGGGAAGTCACTAAACCTTGGAGGTAAAAGAAAGACAAACCAAGTAAGCTGTCAGAATGCCCTGTGCATTCCTGCATTTTTTAGTGGCATATAAAGTTAAAAGACGGTGGTAATATGGAGGGTAATTTTATTTAATTTCTTTCTTTACTCTCTGTCAGACAATAACATAGAAATTCAAAATCTGCATTATTCCAACACGTATCAAGTATTTCTCAGCTTAGTGCTAGATTCGGAGCCAGGATTCCAAAACACGCATTTGCCTGCAGAACTGCTTAAAGATGGAGTTCAGCTTCTTTGCAAGACGACTGTAGATACAACAGACTTAACATCTTTTGTTATAATTATACACGTTCATAAAAGCAGTATGTTATCTTTGTGCCTTGAAATAAGCGAATTAGAAATGGACAAGTAAAATGAAGGAAAGCGGTAGATTCAAACACCTGACATCAGTTAATCATTTTTGTCTTGTCAAATGCCAAGATCTCATCCAGTTGCAATTGACACCAGCTGCAACCATGTAGTTGGCACTCAATTATATTTCCTGTTACAACTCCCAGAATTGTTACAAACTGGTAGTTCTGGTAGCAGAGGCCATTACGTATTAAAGCACCAGGTATTATCAGAGCTATAAATGCAACTGTATATAGCATTAACTAATGTGTAAGGCATAATGATCCCTCTGTACACGGAAATTCTTCTCATATGTAATAACACAAGTTTCTTGTGATAACAATCAGTTCAAAACACCAAAAACGTTACAAATATCTAGACTGAGAAACCCAAATCTCCTGGTTCAAGCTACCCCTCATTCAAAGTCTAGTGAGGCTTATTGGTTAAGCACTGGTGAAACTAGAGACACTACTCACAGTCTTGAATGGATGCAGTGACTTCTGCAAGCTGGCTGGTGAACCTTCTGAAGGCAAACATGCCCTGTGCTCGTGATGCTATAGGTCACACCAAAGCCCTGTCTGTGCTTTGGTCAACCTTCCAAAAACCGTGCCTACCTTCCTGCATGATACTGAAATTGTCAGTACAATTGTCACTGCTGATTGTTGTGATAATACACAGTATTCGTGAAGCTTTTTCTTTTTTTTTTTACTTGCTTGACAGTTATTTATTTAAAAAGCTATTTAAGTGCAAGATTTCAGCCCTCACGATGACACATGCATTCACAGTTAAAGTTCAAGGTGTTTCTGTTTGGCTTTGTCACCAGGCAGCTTCTGCTTTCATTATCTATTTTTAACTCCTCAAATTACATAGGGCTGAAGACAAGAAAGGTTCAAAGGACTGAAATATGATGCAGCATCTCACAAATTTTAGTGTTTTAGCCTTTATTAACAACAGAAACCTAACATTATCTGCAAGCACATCTCATAATTTAATGTGGGTGTCAAGGTAGCTCCTAGTCACTTGTCACACAGTATATCCATCACTGGAAGGATGCAGAGGATATAGCCAGAGTGTGCATTCATGGAACAAACTGCCTTAAATCCCCAACACATTTTACCTTACAATGCACGTCACAGTAGGAAGGTGTACGGACTTCTGGAGCTTTAATTTTGTCCCTCTTCATATACTTTAGTGTTTAGAACCATCAATCTATCAACTCCAGGTGTGTATAATCTGCACAACTTTTACAAGACATAGAGATGAGAAACTACTTAGAGAAAAGTGAGCCCTCAAGAGCACAATGGTGGCCAAGGAGCTCTGGTTAGGCAGAACCACTAAATCAGTATGATTCACCTCACGTCATCACTGCTTCATGCAAATATTAAATAATAAAACAAAGGTTTCCTCCAAGCTACCTACATAAAGAACTCATACATTCCTGTGCATTTGGACAACCTATCTGGCTTTTCATCTATTTAGCACAAGACAGTGGTATGAAAACTAAGAGCTATCACAGTAGGAGGATATGCCCTTTGCTAACTATGATGGGAACTCAGGCAGTTCCTTTGTATTCTAACATCCAGCATTTTCCCTTGTAAAACACAAAAAATCCTACCTGCTGGTTCATTCACTTTGCAGAGGTGAGCACATAGGCATGGCACAGGACATCCACATCCAGACAACTGCTATGACTCTCAGAGCCCACTTTTTCCTACACTGAGTTTTCAGTGAACAATGGTTACTTCTACAGTTACAGATTTGCAAAAACAGTTGGAAGGTTTTTCTTTTGATTAAAATGAGAACAGAGAACAAAACATCCAACTATTGCATTTAAAACAAAATGGTTTTTATCACTGCACAATTTATTAGGCTTGAACACAGCAACATGGGATTCTTGTAAAATATTTAAATAGTTTCTATATAAAGACACCGAAAGCATGAAGATCAGATCCAGCCAACAAAAAACACTCCTATTTTTCACCAGTGTCTTTTGTTGAAAGAGTTGAAATACATCTGTCAGCTACGATTTCACATTTGTGTGGGTAATGCTTCTTGTTTTAGGGACTGGTAAGTGATTATATGAAGGATATAACATTCTTATTAAAAAATGGGATGTCACTTAACAATCCCAATTCAAAAAAGTGCTGTGATTTTCAGAGCTGTTAACTCCCGCGATGTCAATGAGAGGAGCTCAACACCTCTGAAATTCAACAGCTTTGACTACACATAAGAAATGCAGACTGAAAATTCAGGCACCTGTGATTATGCAGACATTTAAAGTGAAAAGACAGATACGAGTATCAGAACAACAGAAGATTTTTAAAGATTTTTCTTTTCCTTCCCAGAAGAAATCCCAAGCAGGTACTGGCTACAGCTCGACTTTGTTGGTGGCACACCTTGGCTCCCAATGTATAGGCTGTCCCTACTCATGCTCAGATCTCTCTACTGAAGCTGTAAAATAAGAAAACTCTGTTCTACTGAAAAAAATATTCCTCCTACACTATCAGAAATGAAAACTTCCCCAGAACAGACCTGATGGTTTACTCTGCTCCAGTTGTCACTGGATGCTTGCTTTGACTTGTGAGATTTTGAAGTGTTTGCTCCTGCTGCATAATTTGCTCATACTTGGGTGCAGGAACAGTTAATGCAACAACCACCAACAAAAGAACATCAGATTAGGATTCCACACCATTTACGCAACACGCAGCCCACAGCAGCCCTAGAGACACAATCAGCTGGCAGCAGCAGGAAGCAATCCATTACTTTTTATATGAGAGCCATTGCGCTGACCCATGGCAAAGAACGCAGCACCCCAGCATAGCTCTGCAGGCACACAGCCCTGACCCGTACCAAGAGCAT